TCTTAGTTTTCCCATCTGTATAAAGGGCGCAGGAAACGCTTCCCTCGGGGGGTTTCTTTGGGGGGGCTCTCGTTGGACAGCAGGGCTCTGTGGACAGGCTGCTGTTGAGAGAACGTGGAGAAGGCGTAGGAAAGCAGGGTCGGGCCCTAGTGGTGTGGTGGAGACTTGGCGGGCAGCACCCCCCCTTTCTGTGCTGGCATCCTGTCTCACAGTCCCAACCCCAGGGGCCTGGAGGCTCTGTCCCCGTGTGAGCGCTGCCAGGACAGGACTTTGAGGGGGAAGCTTCATGCCCTTTGGGCAGCACTGTCGTCCCCTGAGTGGTCTGTCGATGTTACCTCCTTCCTCTTCAAGATAGGTCCAGATGTCTCTGGGAAGGATGTCTGGGCGGGGTGGTGGGGAGGGGTGTCTGTGCAAAGGGGGCACGTTTAGGGAAATCAGAAGGGGAGGTGCTTCTGCGGGCAGTGGGCTGAGGTCCGGGAGAGCCCTTTCTCTTTTGGGGTGAGTTTGCCCATCTGAACACAGACTTGAGAGAGAGAGAGAGACCCTGTCTCGCACCCATGGCTGTGGTCCCACCACATGGTGTGGCCCCTGAGAGCTTTTGGACCCCCACTGCACTGGTTATAGTTGTTTTTTTACTCCAGACACTGCCCAACTTACCCGGTTGGGTGAAGGGGGTGGCCAGGCCACCTCCCACCATGGCCACCCGGAGATACTTCCCTAGGGAGTTCTGGGGTCCTTCAAAGATGCATAGGCCCCCAGGCAGTGGTGACTCCCTTAGCCCTGGGGTAGGGATGGGGGGACGGAGAACTCACTGGGGCCAGGATGGTGCCCCTGCCTAGTGGTTTTTAATGAGAAACTGAGGCCCCTGAGGCCCTGTTGGTGTGTCAGAGTTCTGTGCAGGCAGCGGGAGGAGGAGGGAAGGGTGCCATCTCCACTGGACCCCGAGCCCCTACGGCAGCTGTGGTTCTGCAAATCCTGTTCCCAAATCCCCTTTATCATAATGGTATGGGGACCTGGGGGAATGGGGGGCAGCTCCTGGACCAATTGGTTGCCCCTGAGAGTGGAAATCCCAGACGCAGGCACCCTTGGGCCTGTTTGCTGAGGGGCTTGGACACCTTTGTGCCCAGTGACTGCGTGTTCAGGGTCTGTCTCGCCCTCAGGGTCACCAAACCTGGCCTGGGGTCTGGTGAATGGCCTTTTGGTCTTTCTGGCCTCCAGGGAAAGGGCGGCCGCTGCACGCCTGTTTTGGGGGTGGGAAGCCAAGCTTCTGGGTATCCCAAGGCTGGTTTGGTGTTACCCAGTGGCGGGGGCAGGCCTGGGGATGGATCTGAGGGGGAGCAGCTAATCAGACCTCAGCCATCTCTGGGGGCCTTTGGTAGAGTGTCCTTCTCCCCCCGATCCCCGTCTGAGGACCGCTCTCCACCTCTGTGTAAAGGGACCGCCAGTGCTGGCCTAGGTCCATTTTACAGGGGAGCAAACCGAGGCACCCCGCGCCAGCCCGCTGGAGCTGAATGTGGTTTGTGCGGGCTCCTCTGGGAATAGGTGGGTGGGGAAGCTAGAAGTGGCCGTGGGATCCTTCCACAGGGCCACCCCGCTGCTGTCGTGTGGTCCCCCTAGTCTGGCCCGCAGCCCTCGGCCCAGCTCCTCCCGCCTGGGGCAGGGAAGGACTTTGGAAGCTGCGGGAGATGTTGACGCCGTTGCCGTGGATACAGGGAGTGAGGCGGGAGATGGGGCGGGGGCGGGAGGAGAGGCTGCCTGCCTACCGGCTCTCCCACCTCCTCCATCTCCGTACTGTGCCCCCACTCCAAAGACCCCAGCGTGCACTGAGCCCACAGGCAGCCATGAGCCTTCTGGGGGTCTCGGCCCCCTCTCCGCCAGAGGCAGGTCAATCTGGAAGTGGGGCTTCTAGGCCAGGGCCTCCTCCCCTCCTCTGCAGTGCTGAAATGGGCAGGTTGCTTTCTGTGGGGGGCCCCTGCCCCCAGCCACTCCATGCCAGGAGTACCCCTAGTCTTGACAATGGCAGGTGTCCCCAGACATCGCCAGTGGCCCTTGGGGGGTTGCAGCATCACCCCCAGTTGACACTCCTGTTTTGACTGTAAAACCGAGTTCATTTAAGTCTGGAAACGTTAGTTGAGCATCTGCTGTGTGTGAGATGCTGCAGGGAAGGACCCAGTCCCTGTCCCCTGGGATCCTGGAAACTTTGGGTGGGGGAGACAGAGCAAAAGGCTTTTTGTAGGACCAGGCGTTTGAGCTGACCTTGTGGGGTGGGAGGGGTGTGTCCCAGGAGAGGGAGGCACCCTGGCTGCAGGGGTAGGGGTCAGGGCTGGGGCCATGGGTCGAGGTGAGTTGGGAAGGGGCAGAGCAGGTGAGGGTTCCCTTTAATGCCAAGGGCAGGATGTGGGGTGGGAAGGGAGGCAGGCCCAGCTTTGCAGAGGAAAATCCGGTTAGGAGAAGGGATTAGGATCCCAGAGGGGTTGGGGAGCGCTGGCGCCCTGTGGGAGGGAGAGAGGAGAGCGGACCCCTGAGCAGGGCTGGGGGAGAAGCCCCAGGATGTTGGGGGCAGGAGGGGGCTAGGGTATCCCCCAGGTTTCTGGTCGAGGAGCCCAAGGTGGGGGGGAAGGTGGTGGTGGGGGTGTTCTTTGCTGTAGAGGCCCCAGGTAAGAGGCAGGTGGGGACAGTGAGGCTTGGAGGGACCGTGACCACCGGCTCCTCTAGGGCTGTCTCAGTGACCAGCAGACCCCACCCCCTGCCTCAGGCAGAGCTGTGGGCTCCTTAGGTTCAGGCAGGGCTCCGGGAGACTGGTGGCTTATCTGGGGAGGGGGCAGGGTGGGGCACTGCCAGGCCCTAGAGGGTGGGGGCAGCCTGTGAGCCTCCAGCCGGTGCGCCGGACTGCCTCCCCCACCGAGCCGCCCTCTCCTGGTGGCAGGGCTTGGAGAGCAGCTGGAAGTGGCCGCAGGTGCCTGAGCCCCAGCTGAGGGCGGGGGGAGGGCCCTTAACGTTGTGGGGGGTGATAACCACCCCCCACCCAGGCTCCCTGATAAAGGTGGCCCAGATGGCCCAGGAGTTAGTAAATGATACCGGCACGCGGAGCTGGCCTGGGGTTGGGAAGGGAGGGAGGGCCGCGGGCGGGGGCGGGTACTGTCATCCAGTGCTGTTGCCTTAGTATACATGTGCCCCCTCATCCCCAGGCACTAAAATGCCAATCTGGGTGGGGAAGTAGGCCAGGCCGTGGGAGTCCTGGGGGGATGGGCGAGGGGGCTGCAGGTGGCTGGCCTTTTAAGTACACGGGGAAGGGATAGCTCCTCCGGGTGTGTGTGACTGTGTGTGTGCATGCGTGTGTGAGAATGACATGAACATGTTAGCTGCTGCTCCAGCCCAAGTCGGGCCTGTAGACTTCCCACAGATGTATTAAGCACCCAAGGCATGCCATGCCTGGTGCTCTCAGCCTTACCGTTGTGGGGATGGGGGCAGATATCACACCCAGGGGAGAGATGCTGGCACAAGGATAGAAAAGCCAAGAAAGGGGACCATTTGTGTGGGGTGGGGGTCCGGGTATCAGGGTAAGCAGAGATGGCTCTGAGGGACACTGAGGACAGAAGTGACAGGGAGACGTTGCAGGCAGAGGGAACCTGGCATGCAAGGAACAGTTCGCGGGGCTGCAGAGAAGCCGCAGGAGGGTGGGAGGACAAGGGGCCCAAGTAAAGCTTTGCCCCCTGCCCCCCGCGGTGAGGGGGTAGCACAAGGCTGCAGGGCGCAGCACAGACTGGGCAGCCCGGGTCGGAGCGGGGGGCTGGAACCCGGAGGCACCAGGGTGGGGTCCGAAGATATTTTGAAGAGAGGGCTGATGGGGATTGCTGCCATGTGGGGAGGTGCGAGGGACTGAGATGGCCAGAGAGACACCTGCCTGAGCTTTTGGATGGTACTAGAGTGGCTGAACGGGGAAGCCCTACAGGCAGAGTGGGGAGGGGGAGGGGGCGGGAGGTAAGCCTTGGGTCTGGCAGGCCAGGGCCCAGGAAGTATTTAAGATTGCGAAGCAGATGGCCCTTGCACAGGCTGGTCTTTGTAGAGCCATCAGGGTGGCCAAGCTGAAGGGGAGAGCCCTGCCCTGCTCCCCTGGACCTCTGAAATGCCTCTGGGCTCTTGCAGCCGGCTCAGGGGCCATCTCCTTCCGGAAAGCCCCCTGCGGCTTCTCTCCTCCCCCATTTGTTGCAGCCCCAAGCCTTCTGCAGTTTTGGAGGGATGCTCCCTTCCCTGCGTGCTCCCCCTGTGCTTTCCACCTGGTGGGTGGGCATGTGTGCACGGGCCAGATGCCGGCCACACCTCCTTCCCTACCCCTATGGGTGACCTCAGGAGGTCACCGTGAAGGTTAGTTGTCAGACTCACCGCCCTGGGTCCCTGCCCGCCAGCCCGAGGAGGTGGAGCGCTCGCTCCCTTTGTGGTGGCCAGGGAGGCCTGGCGCGTGGTGCCACCTCCAGGCTCGCCTCTGACAGGTGTCTAGGACCTCCTAGCCTCCATTTTTCTGAGCCTGCATGTCACTTTGGTGGCTCGGGCTGTCCTGAGCTCACCCCGACTAAGCCCTAGTTAAGAAAGTGAAGTCCACCGAGGCCCCGCCCACCATACCCATCTCCAGTGCCCGTGCCATCCTGAGAGCCTGGAGCAACCAGGTGGCCGCACCTGGAGCGCCTCGCCGGCCCTGAGTCCCCTCCTGGCCAGGGGACTGTGGGAAAGTGGCACGACCTGGCGTCTTGCCGGCATTCGCCCAGAGTTGTGGGGGCGGGAAACGCGCACCCGGGTACCGCCACCCACGTGTGCACGTGCGCTGCGCAGCAACCGGGCTAGGGGCGGGGCTGGCAGGTGTCCAAGCTGCTCGGAGACCCCCACCACCCCCGGCGAGAGCGGGACCACGTGAGTGGGGCCGGCTGGCTGCGGATGCCCCAGCCGCCCAGCTACGTGCGGCAGCTGTGTTCCCGGCGGCGGCGTGCGTCCTGCCCGGGCGGCGCTGGCACTGCTCTTGCAACCTGCTCTTCGCGAAATGGAACTGCGGGGTGGAGGGGAGGTGGGAAGCGGGGACCAGCCCCGCCGCCCTAAATGGGGAAGTGAGCCGACTGCGGGCGCGCCAGCCGCGGATGGGCCCCCCCCACCATTCCCGCCGGCGCCCTGCAAGATGGCGACGGGGCTGCGTGCCCCTCGGAGGCGCGTCGCTGCCCCACGCCTGGCGCTTGGTCCAAGGCCAGCAGCCCCGATCCCATAACCGGGCCCCTGCCCCAGCCTGCGGTCTTCGCGAGCTGTCACAGCCGAGTGGTCACCATCGGGGTGGGGCGGGGGGTGGGCTTTGGGATTGTTTTGAGCCCCCTGGTCCTGCAGAGCGGCGTCCTGCTGGGACTCCTCCCTCAGCTCCTACTGACCCTGCCTTCTGGGTTGTTCCAGGGACGGCTTGGGGTTTGGAGGGGGCAGTCCCCGGGATTGGGGGTCGCGTGCGGTCTTGGGGATTGTCGCTCCCCAAGTGACAGAGTTACGGGGAGGTGGGACCGGCGCACCTGGATTCACAGCCTCCTGGGGCCCGCCCTCCCCCAGCTGTGAGCGTGACCAACTGACACCGCACCAGAAACGGGGCGGGGGGCAGGGCTGTTGAGTTGACCCCCTTCTGTAGTGTTGGGGGTGTCCCGGAGGAAGGGGGATGGGGAAGGAGAGGTCCGAGCTTCCCTGGGGCACGGCTGGGGGCCCAGAGCTCTCTGAGCTATGCCAGTGCCCCTTCTCCCTCCCCCGGGCAGGCCGTGGGTTCTCAGGGCAGAGAAGTGGCTGGGTCACCATGAGAATCCAGGCCCTGCTCCCCCCAGGCTGCGGGTCAACCCCATGGTACCCCCCCGTTGTCTCCTGGTCTCCTCTGCACTCCCCCCACCAATCCTGCTTTGGGGGCCTTCCTCTGGCGCCTTGCCGCGGATCCCCCTTCTGTTTCCCCCATCTGTGGGCTCGGGAACAGGGTCAGCCCGGGTCACCGCAGTGCCCAGCGCAGGCCTCCCGGTGCGTAACCCATGAGGTGACCCCGAGCCGCTCTGGCGCCCCACACCCGGTCCGGCCCGCTCGCTTCTACGCGGTGCTCCGTCCAGTGTCACGAGGGCGTCGCACAGGCCCGCGTGTCCACGCTCTGTGCAGACCCCCGGCGCACACTTTCCAAAACTCCAGGGCATCGGGCGAAATGACACCCGGAGATTCCAGAGTCCCAGGTACCCGGCGCGGGGCCGGAAGGGCGCAGGCTCCGGATGCGAACACCCTTGGCCTGGGGCGGAGCCCTGGGCGGCCTGGGGTTCTCTGGGGAGGCGTTGACAGCACACGGTGATGGTCGTACGGCACCGTTCTGGGACAGAGCCCCCCCACCCCATCCCCGATGTGACGGGTGGGAGGGGACCCGTGGGCCGGGATGGCGGCGGTAGGTCGCGGGCAGGATGGGCGAGGCCCGGCTGGGCGGTGGGAGGGGTCTGCGAAGGAAGTTGCCGGTGCTGGCCCGCCCCTCCCAGCGCCGCCGGTCCCGCGGGGGCGGGGTGAGTCCGGCGGCCGCGGGCCTCTGGGCCTGCCCCTTCCCGGCGCCGCGCGGTGACCCGCCCGTGGCCAGTCCTCTCCGCGGCCTTCCGCATTCTCCGAGCGCGCAGGGCCAGTCTGCAGGGCTGCAGGTGGCCCGGGGGGCGTCCACGAGGGTCCTTGGAGGGGTCGGCGCGGGAAACTGCCTGGACCGCGATCCCACTTTGTGCCCCGGTGGTCATTTCCAAAAAGTGGTCGCGAACGCCTGGGAGGTCGCGGAATACCCCACGTGGGAGGTGGAAAGGAGTTGTGCGGGGGTAGGGGCAGCAGGACCCGGCCAAGCACACTAGGAGACCCTCGGCACCGAGGTGGGGACGCTGGGGGTGGGCTGACAGAGCTCAGTCTCTGTACATTCTACTTTTAACCCAGGAGATTGTTCACAGGCGGTAATTACCAGTTTGCAGGAAATAAGAGCGAGAATATTCATTAGGGGGTTGTGGGGTGAGCGAGGGTCGTTTTCTTTGCACATCCACACCTTTTAATTTTGCACGTAGAGTTGAGTGGCGAGGGAGACAAGTGACGTTTCCCTTTGGGATCCGACGGGACGTCCCCCTCACTGACCACTGCCTGTTTGCTCTCTGACCCTCCCACCCAGGTGAGCGCCCCTTTGCCTGTGACTGGCCGGGCTGCGACAAGAAGTTCGCGCGCTCCGACGAGCTGGCCCGTCACCACCGGACGCACACCGGCGAGAAGCGCTTCCCCTGCCCGCTCTGCTCCAAGCGCTTTACCCGCAGCGACCACCTGACCAAGCATGCGCGCCGCCACCCTGGTTTCCGCCCGGAGCTGCTCCGGCGCCCGGGCGCCCGCAGCACCTCGCCCAGCGACTCGCTGCCCTGTAGCCAGGCAGGCAGCCCCGCACCCAGCCCGGCCCCCAGCCCTGCCCCTGCCGGCCTGTAGAGCCCTCGTCCACCCGCCCTGCGCGCCCCCGCTGGGCCTGGGCACGAGCACCAGCGAGACGCCTGCTGTCCAGGGCCCCGGGGCTGGCGGCAGACTGATGGCCCGCCCGGCCACTCACAGCGTTTCCCTGAGGGCCCCCGGGATGCCCTTTTCCCTCCTCAAGAAAGCAAGGAGGGGCTTGAGATGGGACCCGGAGGTGGTCCTCAGGAGGGGCACCTGGGGTCTGCGACTGTAAATAGCCAGGATGGATGACTCTCTTCCCGTGTGTTAATGAGCAGGGACCCCATGTGGGTGGCCGGCAGGCGTTCCCCTCCCCCCACAGCCACCTCCCTGCTTGGGGGTGGGGGGCCTGGAGGGGCCAGGAAAGGCACGCCGCTAACCAGTGCTCGGACTTGGCCCCCATGCCCCTCTCTCCAGGTTGGGATGGTGTGTGCAAAGAGCCATAAATGAACCAGGGGCTACTAAGAGCCCTGGCCTGTCCCCAGCCCCCACCCCGCCCCGGGGCCCCTCACCCCACTGAAAGCCATTGGAGACGTTCAGGGAACTGGGGTGCGGCCCGCCGCCCCCATTCGGGTACTCAATCTCAGGTGTCCACAGCTTCTGACCATGGTAAGGGCTGCCCGGCTCCCCAGCAGCAGGGGCTGTGTAGGGAGGGAGGCGGTAGGGTTTCCGTAGGGGCCTGCGTTTTGCCTCTGAGACCTGGGATATAGGGAGGGGGAGGAACTGGGGTACTTCCAAAGAGCATTTTGACTCACTTTGTGGGGAGGCAGAGATCTTGAGATGGGAGTAAATGCTGACTTATTTATTTTCTGGATCTCGGCTGGTGTGGGGGGGGTGGAGCCACCCGTCTGTGGGCGCATGTGGGAGTGAGTGAGAAACATTTCTGGGGAGGCTGGTGCCAGCCAGGGTCCCTGACTTTGGCCTTTCCCAGCATCACGTGACAATCAATCCCTCCTGTTTGGGACCACGACAGCCATTGGGCACAATGCTGGCCCTTACGCCTGGCAGGTCCCCCTGGGTACGTGGCCCCGGACCAGCTTGAGGTCCCACCCACGCAGGCAGGAAGCAGGAGGGCTGACCCCTGAGCCCCCTGGGATAGCTCGTTTTTTTCGGAGCGGGTAGAATATTTTTTCAGGCGCCAGTCCCTTTCTTGATCCGGGCCGTGGGTGGTCCGTCGTCCTCAGGGGGTGTGGGTGTGTGTGCGGGTCCGCATGACGGGAGCGTCGGTAGGGAGTGGTGAATGCTGGTGCACTCGGCCGGTGTCCTGCTGTGGCTTCAGTTGGCTTTCGTTTTGGATAGAGGACCCCCGCCCTGGACTGAGACCTTGGAAGGGCCCGTCCCCCTCCTGCCGTTGGCTCGGGCGAGGGAGCAGGGTTTGGGTGGCTGTGGTGTGGACCCCACCCGGCCTGGCAGGATCCAGGGAGGGTGCTTAGGGTCCTGGGGAGGGGGACGGGCCGGGGAAGCCCTTTTGGAGCCGGGCTGGGGAGTGTCTTCCAGGCAGGTCCTTTAGGAGCCAGACTGTGTGTGCCCTCTGACCCTGTCCAGCAGTGTCGGTGAGATGCCTTGGTCCGTGGGGGGTGGGCCGGGCCCCGTTTTCCTTCTGTCTGGATTGTCCCAGCCCTGCCCGGTGCCTGTCTGCAGGAGGCGGAATGCCGGTCAGAGGCCTAGGGAGCTGCGGACTCATCCTTGGCCCCTCTCCAGGGTCCAGGGGTCTGGGGAGACCCGTGCCCCTCCTCCCCCAAGGGGCTAGTGGTCATTGGGACCTGATGCCAGCCGCTTAGATGTGGCCTTTCAAGCGGGGGAGGGCCCCAAGGGACTTGTGCTTTCGGGTGGCGCTCCCTACCCCTCCCCTGCCCGGCCTCTTCCTTGTATTTAATTAAATAAGCCCTTTTTTAAACCCAACACAGGTGCCTGTGTGGTTTTTTCCCATCGCCGGCCCCCAGCCGGGGGACTCCCGGCCCTTCGGTATCAGTCAATAATGTGACCTCCAGGGTCAGCAACCTCCTCCAGAGGAAACAAGCAGTGGACTTAGCGAACCTAGGGGTCCGGTGGCGGACTTCGAAAGGCCCCACTGGTGGGGACTCGAAGCGATGCCCCCAACCCCAAGGCTCGTGAGGGGCTTCTCGCAGCAGCGCATGTTGTCGTCCGGTGTCACCCACGCCTGGCACAGCTGCGCCCCCCGCCCCCGTTCCCGCCGTTACCCGGCAACAAGGCGCAGGGACACAGCTCCCGGGGGCGTCCACCGCCCACCGCCTTCCGGCGCTGGGGGCCTGGGAGAGCCCGCGCCCCTGGGGGCGGCGAGGCAGGGCTCCTTCCCCGGGGACCCTGGCTGCCTGCGTGCCCAGCCGTCGGGCCGCTCGCCTGCTGTACGCCTCCGGTGTGCCAGCTCCCAATTGGGAAGGGGTCGGGGGGTCGGGACCTTTGCGCCCCGGGAAAATTGACAAGCTGGTGAGACCTTTGAAACCCTTCTAGGGAAAATGACCCCGAGGGCGAGAGGGGCTGCTGTAGTGGGGGCGCAGACCCTCCCCTCGCGCTCCCCTGCTCACCCCAGGGAAGGCGGGGCCCCGCCATCTGGCGGCCGCCCTGGGAACTGTGCCTCCGCCCCTCCGCAGGGATCGCCGCGGCCGGGACCACCGTGGTGCAGCCCCCTTGTGCTTCCTTCACCCATGCTGCCTTTCTGTCCCGCACGCCCGCATACCTCGTCGCCTGGCCCCGAGGGCCCCCAGCTCGGGCCGGCCTCTCTGCCCCCTTGCGGCAGACTTCTTGGAATACGGGGTCCGAGTGCGCAGCCTCCCCGCAGTCTTTCGGGGACACACTCCCACGTGCCCCTTAGAGCTCAATCATGTCGCCTCCCGCCTGCTGGACACTTCCTGGTCATGTGGCGTCGGGAAGGCCTGCCCCTCGCGATCCCCCGCACCTCGTCCCCAAGCTCAGGTCCCCTCTCGCCATGCTCCTTGCACACTCACGCCACACTGTGTGCCGACGACACCCCCATTCCAGCGCCAGCGTGAGTGTCCCCCCCACCTCCAGCCTGCCCTGTCTGGCAGCTCCATCGTACCTGTGCTCAGGCCAAAACGCTTGGGGTCACCCTTGACTCCCCTCTTTGTCTCACCACCCACATCCAATCCATCCGGAAATCCTGGAGTTCTACCTTCAAAACCTGTCCAGAATCACACGCTTCTCCCCTCCCCCTGCCTTCCCCAGGTCCAGCCCATCACTGTCGCCCTGGTCCCCGGTCTCCAGTTCTCGCTCTCACCCCCAGCCTGTCCTCCCAGAAGCAGCCACCAGAGGGCGCGCGTGGGCACCTGAGTCAGTCCCCGGTTCACAGGGGGCTCCTGGCAATCGCCAGCTGGTGGCCCCGGAGAGGCCAATTATTCAGAGAGGCTGGGAATTGCAGTTTTTATGTAACATCTCCCCAAGACTTAAACAGGGGCAACACATTTCTGTCATATGAAAAACTGGTACTCAAACATACATATCCACGTGTTCACAGCAGCACCATTCCCAATGGCCAAAGTGTAGGACAGCATGTGTGCAAACATGGATGAACAGACACACACAATGTGGTCCATCTGCGTGGAGGAATATTATTCGGCAGTGAAAAGGAGCTCTGACACGCACGTGGATGGACCCTGGATGTACCGTGCTCAGTGAGTCACTGGACACACAGGCACCATGGCATGTGACCCCATTTCTGTGACATGTCCACAATAGACAAAGCCAGAGACAGAACATGGGCTTGTGGGCCCAGGGGCTGGGGAGGGGTGGGGGTAACAGCCAGGGGGATAGGATTTCTTTTAGTTGTGAGGGAATGTTCTGGAATTAGACATGCTAGTTGCACAACATAGTGAATGTACCAAATGCCACTGAATTGTTCACTTTAAAATAGTTAATTTTATATTAATCTGTGTTTCCCCTCAGATAAAAAACACTGAGTGGAACAAAACAGAAGGTCTGTCTGGGTGCCCCATTTGAGATCCCTCCCGTCTCCTGTGTACTTCTGTGCTCAGTCATCAGTGCGTCACCCTAGTTAGCACACATTTAATGAAGTTTTCTGACCCCCTTAGAATTGAGGACCACTTCATTCCATCAACAGCTGCTGTGAATGTGAGTACCAGTTTTTCAAATGGTGTAAAATGGACATCCAGGGTCCATCCACGTGTGTGTCAGAGCTCCGCTCCTTTTCACTGCTGAATAATATTCCTCCACGCAGATGGACCACATTGTGTGTGTGTCCGTTCATCCATGTTTGCACACATGCTGTCCCACACTTTGGCCATTGGGAATGGTGCCTCTGTGAACACATGCATATGTATGTTTGAGTACCTTTTTACGGATATGTGTGGTGGGGTCTGAGTGGGTGCTGGTCCTCGGGCCACAGGGTCCTCACTCTCAGACCCCCGTCTGGTGAGGGGTGGGCAGCAGGCCAGTGTGAATGGAATTCCTGACTGTTGGAGAATGAGAAGCATTGTGACTGCACCCAGTGGGAAGTCCCCAGGGAGAAACGTGGTTGAGTAGAGAAATCCCACCAAGTCCTTCCAGGCTTCCAGCCCTCCCTGGCTCCCCACTGCCCTCCTGGTTTGGACAACAAGGTCCCTCACATGTCCACAACCTCAGGCTCTCCTCAAGAGAGACACCCTCTTGCAACCCTCTGAGCATCCTTCTCTCTTCAGTGCTTACAGGTGCCACTGGTGACACAGCCATGGAGGCAGGGGAACCCTGCCCACAGGACCCACTGATTAGCCAAGAGACAGACTGGGCAAAAAATAAAATCGAGTCCTCTGTAGAGTCATCTTTAACACTCCCCAGCCACCTGCCCCTATCACTGAACCCAGTCTCTTATTATATATTCATAATTGCTGCAAAAAACACAACTTTGCCATATAAACCATGTCTAAGTGCACAACAGGGGACATGGGCACATTCACACGTTGTGCAGCCGTCCCCACCCGCCTCCATCTCCGGACTTTCTATCTTCCTAGACTGAACCTCTGTCCCCATGAAACTGTCCCCACCCTGGTCCCACCGTCCACTTTCTGTCTGGATGTGACTCCTCTAGGGACCTCCGGCAAGTGGGATCAGACGGGATCTGTCCTTTGTGTCTGACTTATTTCATTGCACACGATGTTCTTCAGGTCCGTCCACGTTGTACCAGCTGTCAGGATGTCCTTTCTTTTCACACTGAGTAATATTCCAGTAGACAGACCCCACTGTGTTGATACAGTCTGTCAGTGGACACTTGGGTTGTTTGTATCTTTTGTGAATAATGCTATCACTGCAGGTGTGCAAATATCTCTTTCCAGACCTTGTTTTTCATTCTCTTAGGTATACACCCAGAAGTGGGGTTGCTGGATAATATGGTAGTTCTCTTTTTAATTTTTTGCGTAGCCGCCACACTGTTTTCCACAGAAGTTGTGTCATTTTGCAGTCCCGCCAACATTCAATGGGCCACTCATTGCTTTATGCCAAGGCCTTCAGGCTTTGAGCCTCCCCACCAGCCTCCATTCTCCTTTGTCTGGATAGCAGAGCATCTAGGGCAGGGCCTGTGCAGTATAATGAGTCATAAGAAATACATATTTGGTCGTTCATATGACCAAATGCGTATTTCCCAGGTATATTTGGTCTTCATCCACAGTTATAGAGTCTTAAAGATGAAACGGGCGTCTTGTCATGTTAATGAGAAATTTTTGGACCTCCACCCAAGGGTAGGGGCTGGAGGTTGAATCAGCCGATGGCCAGTAATTTAGTCAGTTATGACTGTGCGATGGAAGCCCTCACAAAACCCCTGAGAAGGGCTTTTCATTCTCCTGGATCCTGCTTCTTTTTCGGAGAGAGCTCTACGCTTGGGGAGCCAGAACGCCTCCACGTGCCCAGAGCCAGGCCCCCAGCTCCACGAAGACAGAAGCTCCTTTATTTGGAACCTCGCCCTGTGTCTCTCTTCATCTGGCTGTTAACTTGTATCCTTTGTGTTGTCCCTTATTAAATGGGTAAATGTAAGTGTTTTCGTGAGTTCTGGGAGCCACGCTAGCAAATTAATCAAACCTAAGGGGGAGGTCGTGGGAACCTCCAATCTGTAGCCGGTGGGTCAGAAGCACAAGGAACTAACTGCCTGGGGCTTGCGACCCGCATGTGGAGTTGGGGGTGGAGGGCAGTCCTGTAGGACGGAGCCCTTCACCTGGGGATCTGGCGCTGTCTCCGGGCAGAGAGCGTCAGAATTGAGTTCTCGGACACCCTGCTGGTGTTCGAGAATTGCTTGGTGGTGTGTGTGGGAAGACCCCCTCCCACGTATTTATGCACAGTGGAACCGGTCCCTGAATGAAGTTATACTATTACTGCTCTGTGTAATACTGCTATTGTTACACCTATATGTAGGAGGGTAAAAACACACTGGCAGCCTGGTGTGCAGCAGGTGCTCGGAGTTTGGTGAGAACAGGACTCTTGTGGACCTGGGAATTAGAGGCTGCCGACAGGGGTACAGATAGGTGGGTGAGGGGGTAAGTTAGGACTCGCCTTGTCCGACAGGGGGCACTTTAGAGTAATATGCTAATGACGTGCAAATTAAATGCAAATAAGCCACGGCCGGGCCCTGCGGGGCGTTTCTTAATCAGGCGCGCCGCGGTCAGCCCAGGCGCCGCAGGGGCCTGGGGCTCAAAATGGCGCTGCTGCCTCCGCTGAGGGCCGAATGGCGGCACAGGCGAAGTCCCCGGAGGCTGCAGTCAGGGAATTCCATGCCCTCCGCCCCTCCTCCCGCGGCAGCCTGTCCCGGCCCATGGGTTCGCGACACGCCTTGATCCCACGGGAGCCGGGGTTTCTGATCAGGCGCGCTACGGGCAGCCGTTCCCGGGGTCCCTTGCGGCGGCGTCCCGGGGGCCTGAGGGGGCCTCGGAGCAAGATGGCGGCGGCGGGGTCTGTAAGGCGCGGGCGGCGGCGACCGCGGCGCCAGTGAGGGGCCCGGGAGCCCGGGCGGCTCCGGGCCGGGGCCCCGCCGCGGGACGGACCATGCTACGCTCCACCGGCTTCTTCCGGGCCATAGACTGCCCCTATTGGGCTGGGGCGCCCGGGGGACCCTGCCGGCGGCCCTACTGCCACTTCCGGCACCGTGGAGCCCGGTGCCCGGGTGTGCCCGGCGGCGGCGGAGCGGCGCCCTCCGCAGCAGGTAATGCCCGCCAGCCCTCCCCCGCGGGCTCGGCTCCCGGGTCCGGACTCCACCGTCGGGGCTTCCCCGGCCCCCCTCCCCCCCGGTCTCTGCCCAGCCCCTTCCCCACGCGTTCCGGGACGGCGTCCTCCGAGCCGGGACCACCCACCCCGGGGTCCGGTGCAAGTCGGGGGACCTATGTGAGCCTCGGATTCCACGAGCGTAAAATGTAAACAGTGAAAGGACATGCCTTCCTGGAGCTGTCGCGAGGGTGGAGTGAGAGAACGCGGGCCAGGCGCCGAGTAAAGGGCTCGGGAGCGAGCGCGTCTGTCACCGGTGGGCAGGCCCAGGATCCCTTCCTCTGCCCTTATTCCTGGCGAGGTCTTGGCGGGGAGCCATTCCCCCTGCCCCGCCAGTCTCAAGTGCTGGTGGTGGCAGCCCGGTTTCCGCGCTGCTTGCGCCGGCCGTACCTCTGGAACCGGCCGCCGCTGTCTCTTGTAGTGGGAGTCAAAGAGGGCGTTACTTAGGGCACCTATTGTGTGTCAAGCCGGGTGCCAGACTCGACTGGACAGGGAGTGATTCAAACCCACTTAGGTGGGATGGGAGGGCGGGTAGGCTTCCAAGGAATGACTTGCTTTTGGTTAGTGGGCTGCACATCACATTCTCGTGGTGATTATCGATATCAGGGCAGAATTGGGGGAAAGCTGCAATGGGTCAGGCAGGGCTTCTAGTGGGGGGGTGCGGGATTCGTGCTGAGAACCGTTAAGAACAGGGAAAAAAGAGGGACATTACAAGGAGAGGCTTGGAGGGAGAGGTAGACATGGTGTCATTCCTTGCAAGGGAGCTTCAGGCCCCCACCGGCGACCTCTCAGTCTTCAGCACGGGCTCCCCCTTTCCACCGGACCCAGACGTCCCTATTCGGTCTCAGCTTCGAGTGTTCCCTCTTTCCCCGTAGAAGAGTGATTGTCATCTCAGAACCTTTTTTCCAAAGAGGAGAGAACCCTTACTAGAATTATTAAGTAATAGGCCTGTTTCCGCATTCTGCCAGAAAGAAAAGTAAGGTAGAATTTTCTCATCGTTTCCTCCACAAATTTGCTTGGAACCCCTGGCACCTGCAGCCGGCCGACAGCAGTGTTCACTGTCTGGCTCCACACCTGCGCCAGGCACGGGGCCCTCAGAGCTGCGCCGGTGCGTTCCTGGCTGTCGGGGACCTGCGTTGAGGCGGGCAGACAGACGTGCCGACAGGCCCCTCCGGTGGGGTCCGGAGTGTTGTGGGAGTCTCCTCTGAGAGGGTTTGTGTTGGTTTTGTTGAAGCCTAGTGTCTTGACTCTGTTTTCTTCTCGGCATGGTGTGTGGTGGTGTGCAGAGCCATCCCCTGAAACCACTGACCTGCCTTGTCTCTGGTCCGTGTTGCCTTCCAGGCTCCCGAACCCGCCGGGCGTTGGTTTCTCTCCTCGTGGGTTCCTCCCATGCCAAGTCAGTCGTTTGATTTCTTTCTGCATCGCAGATGGCCAGTTAGCTTCCCACAGGACCATTCCCAAAGGACCCCCATTTGGTGATGTAGTCCTGTCTGCCCCACTTCCCTACAGGAAAGAATGCACTGCCTACTCCTCTCCCCAGCACATCTGTGCTCACCTTTTGCAGGTGAGTATAAGCAGCCTTCTCCCCTCTCGGGTGGGAGTGGTAGGCCTCTGCTTACCTTCTGGCGGAATGCCGCCCCCCCCGCGGAAGGACGCGGTCAGATCCCAGCCCGGCCTCTTTCTCGCTGTGGGGCCTCTGGGAGCGTCTCTCCCCTCCGTGGCGCGCTCACAGGGCCGCCCTCTGAGGGGCCGGAGGAGAGCAGGTGCTCGGACCTCCGCGCTAACTGCCCCTCCTGCTCCTGAGCGGACACCTTTCCCATCTTGGTGATGTAGTCCTGTCTGCCCCAGGGGACTGCAGCCGGCCAGCCTTTGGCAGGGCCCACTTGTGGCCAGGGTTGCCTGGGCTCGTTTTTAAGCAGCTGTCAGAGGGGCCACTTGAAGAGGGTACATGGGTTCCTGTGTGCCCACTACCTCTGGCCTTGGGCCATTTCAGCTGAGACTCAGGCCTGTGACGGGCCTGGCAGGGACCCTGTTCCTTCCAGCCCTAGGACGCGCCCCACCTCGTGTGGGCTCCAGGGTCCCTACCCCCAATGATGGGCGTGGGAATGCTCAGTTAACGCAGCATACACTAGGGCAGGCTCTGTCTGGGACCCTTAAAAATGATTGGGGTGATTGTCCCCATTTTGCAGATGAAATGGGCCCAAAGATGGGGAGCCACTCGCCTGTGTATGCATGGCTGGTAAGTGGGGGACCTATGGTTGAATCTGGGTGGCCTGGCCCCGGCCTGCTCACTACCTCCTGCCGATTCTGGCTGCCTAGCACCCGCGGCTCCCACACACACCAGGCTGCCGATGTGTGCAGGACCAGCGCTCTGCCCTGCGGCAGGCAGGTAACAGCAGTAGCCTAGAGGACAACTGCAAGACTGAGCCCGGGTACAGTGGGAGGCAGGGCGCCTCCCTGATGAGGCCCTTGGTGGCATTTGTGGCCTGATCTTAGGAGCAAGCCCTGCTTCCGCAGGGAGGCTGTGAGGTGGGAAAGGCAGGCAGGGATTGGAGAAACAGGTGCCTCCCAGCAGAGGGTGGGTTTTGTTTCCCTGTGGCATGGTGGTGCAGCCGCCGGAGCCGGGCAGCCCCCGGGTGTTACCAGGCTGAGCAGGCCACCGGCTGTGCTGCTTGGCTGCTTCCCTGTGGGCCGGGCGCCAGCAGAGTTTCCCGCGGGCCTGTGATGGGACAGACGGGGGCTCTGCTCGGTCTGGCCCCTCCCCTTCCTGGGAGAGAGCTGGCACCAAGGGGACGCCCAGCAGAGAGCAGCATGGCCTGCTGTGCCCAGGGCCTGCCCGGGGCGCTAGAGGACCTGGGGATGTGCTGGCGCTCTGCGTGCCTCCGGTCGGGCCATCGTGGGCCTACGCCTTTGTCTGGGTGGGAGTGTGAAGGCGGTCGGAGGAATAGAAACTGCACATTGGAGCTAGGTCCTTCTCTGCGGGCATGTCCTGGCTGCAGTAGCGGGTGAGTAGCACCCCTGGGCCCCACCCACTCGATGCCAGGAGCACCCCCAGTGTGACCACCACAGGTGCCCAGGGCCCTTGGGGGCAGAACCGCCCCAGGTGAGCCTAAGGTCACAGGCTGTGTTTTGCTGAGGCCACCTCACATTTTAAGCATCCTGTCCCTCACAGGGACTGCGCATCCCAGGGTGGCTCTGCCCCAGGACCTGGCGCCAGGCCCAGGGGATCGAGGCCTGCGGGCTCCCAGAGGAGAACCCTCCCCTGCCCTTGACTGGGTGGCTCTGTTGTTCTCTTGTTGTGGGTTTTTCTGTAAAGATGGGATTTGAGGAAAGGGGCTCTGGGTTTTCAAAGCAGCCCTCTCGTAAATGTCACCAGCACGGCAGTCGCCTCCCGCCCGGAGCCTTCCGTTCTCCCTGCACAGAGGCAGCCCCTCTCTCCAGGGGCGGCGCCCCAGCAGGGAAGCCCAGGCCTCGCCTCTGCTCACAGCGCTTTTCTCCTAAAGACTCAGAGCAATGCTTAATTTAAAAATGTTGGTGAATACTAAAAAGTTAAAAGGAAAACATTCTGCAAATTGCCCCCAAGTCCCCATTGGCCAGCTTGGCAGGCTCCCTTCTGGTCTTGAAAACAAAAGGCTTTGTGTCTTTTTCCTGAGTTGTGATCCTGCCCCACCAGTTACTCTGGGCTCTGTTTTCTAAGGCTCCACAATGCCCGGTGAGGTAAGGGGCCGTCCCCTGCCCGTGTCTCAGGTCAGTGGTTCCCACACCTGGTGGCCCCCCAATGGCCCGAAGAGCTTTAAAAAGCCTGCCTTCTTGCCCAGATCCAGGCTTGCACCATTTGCATAAGGCTGCATTTCCCCATAAAGCTGTTTTTGATACTTTAGGATTCTTTGCTTAGTGTCTCTTCCCCTACATGTACATGTCTATCCAGCTCACTGGTGCCAGGTGAGACCGGGAAACCTGATTGGCTCCCCAGACTTGGCCAGTTTTTTGGGAACAGGATGGGAAAGCTGGGCAAAACCCTGCAAAGCACAGCCTCCCCTCAGCTCCTAAGGCCTGGGGGAGAGAGGCAGGATAGTCCAAGCACCAGGGATGGGGTCGACGGGGGCGGCCCAGCAGGTGGGGAGGAGCTGCGTGCCCCACCCCAAGCTTTCCGGAGGCCCCAGAGAAGAGGGCAGGTGCCGCAGCCAGTGTTCAGCCCTGTGGCAGAGTGCAGCCCCAAAGAAGGGCCTCAGCTCTGTGTTCTGTGCGTGCAGAGAGCCGGCCTGGGAGGGGGCGGCCTGGCCTCAGCTATTTTTCTGCAAAATGGGTGATGATGGGAGCCCTCAACCAGCAGGACAGCCCCTCCTGCCTCGCGTGGCCGCACTGCACAAACAGCGTCCTGCTCTGCTGTCCTCCCCTCCTCCCACAGATGCCCTTTACAGCTCCCCTCCCGTGGCGAGCATATGGTTTGGAGGCCGGGTGGTGGGCGCACAGGCATTGGGCGTGTTACCCACATACGGAAGGTGGACCGTTTGACCCAGTGAGATTCGTGTCCAGAAGTGCAGGCCTGAACGAGAGACGGGGTGCAGGATGTCAGGGAGCTGGCAGCCGGCCAGGGCAGGCTGGGGTCGCGGAGACGTCTCCTGGCCTCTGTCGTCCATGTCCATCCTGCAGTGGCCAGCAGCATCTCTGGAGGGTCCAGGCGTGTGTGCTGCCAGTTGCAGGGCCATGGGTCTGGCGGCTTCTCTAGGCACCGGTGTTTCCCTGGAAATGGCTCTGTGGAGCGCCCACAGGTGCCTGGGCTTCATGGGGCGGCAGGACAGAGAGGAGAGCTGAGGGGCCTTCTGGGGAGGCTGCCCCCCTCCTGGCTGCCTCTGCGTGCTGGGGAGCAGGAGGGAGGTGGATGGGGCCCCAGGCCTGTGCGCTCCGGGTGGGACTCAGCTGTGCCACATGCTGTGGCCTTGAGCTGGGCACGCACTCACACTCACACTCAGGCCTGGTGTCATCTAAGGTCGGGAGCTGGCCCCGGGACCTCGAGCGGCTCTTCCAGGTCTGTCCAAACTCAGTGCATATTGGTGGACCAGGCAGAGGCCCCCGGGGGTAGAGGTGGGGTGTCCAGCAGCTCACATACGAGCCAGGGTCCAGGAGAAAAAGCAGTTGGTACCTGGGGTTGCAGGGGCATCGGGTGAGCGTCCTCAAGCAAGCAGTTACTGAGCTGGGCTTTGAAGGATGAATAGGAGTTTGCCTGCTGTCTGCAGGGGGACATTGCGGTGAAGGGCCTCGACTGCTCTCCTGCTCTGTGCTTTGGGTGGACCCTGGAGGGGGAAGGAGAGGCTGCTCCCGGCCTTGCCGCCGCCCCCAGCAGGCCTTGGCTGGAGGTTCCTGTTGTCACACTGACTTGTAACTTGTCCTTCCCTAGCACAGGCCTGGGGACGCCGCTGACGTCCAGCTACCCCGCCCCAAAGATGGGGAGCTGGGTGGACTCAGCCGGGTAATGTTGCCGAGTGGCTGCTGGGAGCCGCCTGCCTGGCAGGTCCTCTCTCCTGACCACAGAGACTGGCGGTGTCCGCAGGAACGGACGTGCCCCAGGCACCAAGGCCTGGGACTCTTGGTTGCGTCATTTCATTCTGTCATTCACTCGTTCAGCCCACAGACCTTCGTAGACACTTGGCCAGGCAGCTGGCCAGGAGCCGGGGGGTCAGCATGCTAAGCTTCTGGGCGGCAGGGGACAGCAGGAGGCAGGCCCCGAAGGTGAGGGGGTGGGGTGTGTCCAGGGGCACCGGGGCCCCATTCAATGCAGGCGCATCCTGGTGATGCTTGTCTGTGTGTCCTAGAGGCCAGGTCCGCCCCTGCCCAGGTGACGGTCACATGTCACAGTCTCTTGTCCAGAGAGGCTGTGTCCCTTTATCTGGCAGAGTGGCCCCAAGGGCCCTGAGAGCAGAGTGCAGGCACTTTCAGCAGCCAGGACACGGAAGCCCCGGGGCCTAGCCAGCCGCCTCCACCCGCATGCCTGAGTCCCAGCTCTGTGCCGGCCACCTTGGGGAGAGCACAGGCCTGCCCAGGCGGCCCAGTCCCACTGGGTCTGCAGGGATCCCAGAGGGCTTCCTGGAGGAGTTGCTGAGACAGAGGCCCTCTGGCTCTAGGCAGGAAGCTAGCCCTGCCTGAAGGAGAGGAGGGCCTGGCCTACCGGGAGAGCCTGCCCTCTGCCACGCGTCCCCAGTCCTGCCTGAGGGGCCGCATACTGAATGCCGCGAATGCCCACCTGCGGCCTTAGTGTGCAGGCCCGTAGGGGATGCCCCATGTCCAGACAGGCTCTGGAGGAAGGTGGCGGAAGAAACTGGTGATCCTGTTTGGGGACCTGGACGTGCTCTGGCCAGAGAGGGGAGAGCTCTCTCTTGAACTTTGCCTTATTGGGACCGTGGAAGTGATTGGGGCCGTCATACCCTCTGAGGGTGGGGCAGGGCTGTGGAGAGAAGGCCGCCTACAGCCCTGGGCATGCCCGTTGCTGCCCCTGCTACCCATCCATCCTGGTGCTCTCCCCGAGTGTGTGCACAATCATGTGCATTTCCAGTGCCCTTCACGTTTTCCTGCTCTGTGTGTGTATGTGTGTGTCCCTGTATTTTTGAAGCGTGGCTGAGGTCCCGTGGTGGTTTCGGTCTTGGCTGCTCTGCACAGGCTGTGCATGGTCCAGGGCACGCTCACTGCCCTGGCTTTCCCGGGACCAGAAGGGGCAGCCCAGCAGCTCTGTGGTCAGTGGCGCCCGGGGTGGCCCTTGGCACGGAGAGCTGGGCTGGTGGTGGCCACAGGCCTGGACGGCACCCTCTTTCTTCTTCCCCTCCCCTGGGGCTCAGGGGGTGCTGTCTGTGGGTCTGAGCTTCGAGTCAGTGTCCCAGGCCCTGGAGACGGGGGGACCCCCTGAAAGCATGTGGACGTGTCTGGGGAGCCCCGGGTGGCTGCAGGACTCTCCTTCCATCCAGAGCAAGAGATTGGCCAGTACTTTCTCCCAGGGCTTCAGCTCCCAGCCTGCCCAGTAGGGTGTGAGGATGTCCTGCCTGGGAGTGGGGGTCTCCCAGGAACAGAGGCTCCGGAGGGAGGTGGTGACGGCCAGTCCCTCCAAGGACCTGGGAGGCTGCTCTGTCTTCCCTTTGGGAGGTGGTCTCAGGGGCACAGTCTGCCAGATGCCACCCCCCAGAAAAGCCCAAAGCGGGGGCGGAGGCCTTCTGGCTGGGCATAGCTGGCCCTCACTGGCATCTTTCCTGG